GGACCAAGAAGACAGAGCATCACTTGCCCCAGAGCCCCTAGCTATACCTTGTGGCTAATAGCCACTGATGGACCTCTGCTCCATATGCTTATCTAATTCCCTTTTGAAGCCGTCCATGCTTGTAGCTGCCACCACTTCCTGTGGCAGTGAATTCCATGTGTTAATCACTCCTTGGGTGAAGAAGTACTTCCTTTTATCCGTTCTAACCCGACCACTCAGCAATTTCATGGAGTGCCCACGAGTTCTTGTATTGTGAGAAAGGGAGAAAAGTACCTCTTTCTCTACCTGCTCTTTCCCATGCATAATCTTATAAACCTCAATCATGTCGCCCCTCAGTCGTCGTTTCTCCAAGTGAAAGAGCCTTAACCTTTCCTCATAGGGAAAGTGTTCCAACCCTTTTATCATTCGAGTTGCCCTTTTCTGCACTTTTTCCAAAGCTATAATATCCTTTTTAAGGTGTGGTGACCAGAACTGCGCACAGTATTCCAAATGAGGTCTCACCATTGATTCATCTTACCTGCATGCCCTTCACCCCAGCCTTACAGAAATACTTCTTCACTTCCACATCAATCTGAACATCACCAACATAGCTGTAATACAGAGAATGACAGCAATATGAGGTTCCCAAAGAATCCAAAGAAACCCATTGAGTCTGCACAAGAACAAACCTCTGAGAACCCCCTGTCTTCCACATGGCAGCCCAGCATGACCAAGAAATGCAAGTGGCAATAGACAATTTCTGCCTTCATGTGAAGGGGGCTTACTGAAGGCTGGACCAATCTACCTCCATCTTTCCATGAATCTAAGAAGTGCCAGGCTGGAAAGAAGCAACAGGGAGGAAAGACGCTTCTCCTGCTAGTTATTTGTCCTGCCTTTTTTCACAACAGCCCTGGAAGTGCAAAGAGGCTGAGAAGCATCCCACAGTCAACTAGTGAGCTTCATAACTGACAGGGACCTTGAACTCCCAGGATATCCCTGTGCTATCCCAACCCCTCCCACCAGAAACCTAAAATTTTTGGAAAATTTGAAGCCATTGAAAAAATTGCCCCCCTTTCCACACACACCCCCCCAGAAATTTTGGGGGGAAATTGAAGTATGTGCAATATTTACTTTCCTATCAAATCCAAAGTTGCTTTATTACTTTAACAACATAAAATGCATCATTTATAATTCCATATAAAACCATAAATGTGTTTATGGAATTTAGAAGTATAATAGTGGATTCCTAAACAGAGTTACAGTCTTCTATGTTCGCTGAAGTCAATGAGCTTTAGGGCTCCCAAATCTCGCCAAATCGTGGTGGGGGATCGCATGTCTTTGCAGAATCCCTGCCGCAGAGACGGCGAGACACGTTGCACCGCTGTCGCCAGGACATGACACTATGCGTCGCGATGCGCAGCGTCATGTCCTGGCGACGGCGGGTGCAACGCGTCTCGCCATCCCTGTGGCAGGGATTCTGCAAAGACATGCGATCCCCCGCTGCGACTTGGCAACCCTAATGAGCTTAGAATGGTGCAACTCTGTTTAAGATTGCACTGTAAATGTCTAAAATAGGTCTATACAGATGCAAGTCTCTTTTTGTTCAGGGGGGTTATTCCAGGAAAGTGTTCTGAGGACTGCAGCCTTAGTTTTCTACAAGCAAAACTGCAAATATGGCCAGTACTTGAGAGATAGCTGTAATTTGTTGAACCCTCTGCTTTCTTAGCACAGGTATCTTAGTTTTTACTATCTGCGATTTAGGACAAAAAAAATTGAAATTAGAAAACAAATTACTATTTAGACAGAACCGTATTTGGATATCCTTTATAGCACTGAAAACACTGAACTCCTTAATACTATCAAACACATTACAGTATATTAAAGGTTGTGAAAATGTTATATATGTTTATAATATAGCCGAAAATTATCTGTAGACTGCTTTACATAAAAATTTTCACACTACAAATTCTGAGTGAGAAATACCTCATCTTAAAAGCATTTCAGTCATTCCAAAAGAGATTTTTCACAAGTTTTTCTAGTGTTCCCCCAACATTTTCCACTGAGAAAAATTATCCCCAAAAGATGCCCCCCAAATGAGTCAGTTTTTCTTTCCAGGCCTTCCTGTCCTTATCTCTCACCCATTGGATCCCCAATTCAGGACAGAAGACATGCATTGTTCCATGGAAGTGTATACAGAACACATCCAAAATGTTAAAATATAGCCCATTAAACTGACAGCCAGCAGGCAGCAATCAGTTCCCACCAGATCTACAGTTTTCTATGGAACCAACATAGCAAAGTAACAAAACCTCATGCTCACCTGACTGTTAGGTCCAGCAAGATCTGCTTCTTGTTCGTGCCAGTGTGAACCTTGACTCCAAGGATTTTCAATGGCTAAGAATAGAGGAGGCATCATCACTAAAAAATGGGAGGCATTCTTCTCTGTTTCATTCCCCTCAGTGAGGCTTTCCTCAGTGCTCTGAGACAATCACTTCAGCAACTGTGCATAAATCTCAAAGCTTTGCTCAAAGACATGGTGGCAAAGGAGTGTCCATGGCAGTTTTCGGTGCACTTTCTTTGCCTCTGTCCCCCTGCAGCTGCCATTCCCCCCTCAGGAGGGCTTTTGGGGTCTTTTATTTAAACATGAATTGCTATATAACTATAGAACAATTACCCTTTAAAAAGCAAACCTTAAAAAGCTCTCCAGTAAGAATCCCTCTCCTTGATGGCTAAATTTGGCATTTCCCAAAATAGACAAAGTAGCTGTGCCAGTCCACAAAAACATTTCACAAGTTCCTCAAGTTAAGGTAATGGCAGCCGAAAATTTCATATCTTGCTTTTTCATTCCAGAAGATAATTATTTTACTCAATTGTTGTATATATGATTAAACAAACATGTTCTGCTGTGAAATTTTCACAAGTTGTTGTGGCAAATTCTTTATTATTAGGCCAGTTTGTTCCTTGAGAATTATATTTCCTTCCTCTTCTTTGTTCATTTATTTTTAGTTTACGGATGCCAACATCAGAGAAAGGACCATACCTTGAAGAACAGTGCTGACTGACATCTGAAAGGGCTTCATGTGTGACCACTTGGGGGCAGGAAAGGCAGTGTGATTGTTATTGTGTGCTGGTACACTGGGCTTGCCCCCCCAGTACTCTAAACAAATATTTACTTATGTATTTAGATATTTATACCTTGCTTTTCTCCCAATGTGGGCCCACAGAAGCTTACAACATTCCCTCCTCTGCTTTTGCCCCTTACAACAATCCTGAGAGGCAGGGGTAGGTGGCGAGTATGTGACTGGCCCAAGGTCATCAACTGGATTTCCATGGCTGAATGGGTATTCAAGCCTGTATCTCTCACATTCTTATCCAATACTCTTGCCATGATACCACTCGGGCTCTATATTCCTCTTTTGGGTATTACCTTCGATCCCATGTCAACTTTGCTGAAGGTGAAGGTCTGCAAATGGCTGTTGGAGGCTCGGATGCTTGGCGTGATGTTTTCCACTAGCAGTTTCTCCATGTACTGGCCAAAGAAGGGCCATGCCTGGGCCAGAATCTATCATGCAGGCAAGCAGAGAAAAGGTGATGTTAGACTCAGTACCAGCCCAGTCCAGGATAGCCCGATCTTGTCAGATCTTGGAAGCTAAGCAGAGTTGGCTCTGGTTGGTATTTGGATGGGAGACCTCCAAGGAATACCAGGGCCCTGATGTGGAGGCAGGCAATGGCAAACAACCTCTTTACATCTCTTGCTGTGAAAACCCTTTGGGGTTGCCATTAAGTTGGCTGTGACCTCATGGCACTTTCCACCACAAACTCAGTACTATCACGGACAGGAGAAAAAGAACAGTGTCTACTGCTTCTCACCTTGTTGAGCCATTCAACTTTCTCAACATCATGGAAAGTGACCTAGAAAGAAGAAGAAGAAAATATGGATTAGCTCCAGCAAAGTGCTATCGGCTCTTCGACACAATGGAATAGAGAAAGTGTCGAGGATGGATGTGAACTGGACAGGCTGGGGTTCAAATGCTTTTTCAGCCAGAAACCTCACCAGGTGACCCCCCTTCTACCTGATCTGCCACAATGGGGTTGTTATGAGATTAAAACAGGATCACCTCTTGCATGCTGCCCCTGGAGAAAGGGCAGCACACAAATATGGAAGACAGAAAAAAGAAAAACCTGGAGCAGGATGAACCATCCTGAAATTCATTTTTTAAAGGAAGCGACAGGATTAGGAGCTGGGTGATGAGCCTGCAAGTATCTCCAGCACTGCAATGTTGAGCAACACC